GCCTTAACATATTTTTTACAAAGTGTAGTTTATTTAGTACCGGTTGTATCCCGAGTGTAAGTATCGCCGCCTCGCGCGCCGTATCGCAGTGAAGTGCGCCATCACAAATCATTAAAAAATACTAATTGACTAGCATTACCGCCAGCATAATATCCACAGTCTATTTTTTTATTCAGGTCAAGTGAAGATGACAGTGGTGATTATGGCAATGATTCAACTGTAGATCCAGACTATATCCCAGACAAAGATAAAATTAGCAGTACAGAATTAAATGATGATGGCAATTCTGATGAAGAAGCAGAAAGTGGTATTCATCCTGTCTCCAATTATAAAGAGCTACATGGTATGTAGTTCAATTATTTGTTAACAGTGTTTAAAAGAAATAATTACATTTACAGGTAATTTGCTATATAACAATGTTTTAACTTATGTACTATAAATTTAAGGTATTTTTTTATCTTTCAGGAAAGACTCGTGATTCGCCTAATGTTGAAATTAATTTGCCTGCTGTACAGAAATTTCCAAATGTCAGTGATGAAGACCAGTTAGTAGACGAGGAGGTTATTTCTGAAAATGAACATGTTGATGAACAAGAGAATGATGAAGGTGTTCGACCAACAGTTCGGCATCATAAACGTACTGGAGCAATTTTGACTCGAAAACGCAGACGTGATCCAAGTAGTTGGAAATGCAACATAAGAAAGAAACTTAGGCAATCGGGACAGGAGTATGTAAATAGCCGGGGAAATGTTCAAGAGTCGAGATCAGTAAAAACAAAGAAGGACTGCTCCAAATGTAAATTTAAGTGCAGTTATAACATAAGGGAAGCTGATAGAAAGAAAGTATTTGATGAATTCTGGACATTGGATGACAATGGAAAACGGCACTTTTTTAGTAGGACAACAACACAGTCATCCACTAAAAGACCAAAAGTTGGGCAACCAAGTCGTAGAAGTATGAGTTTGACTTACAGCCTCCCTGTGAATGGTGAACATATTCGTGTATGTTGTGCCTGAAGATACAAAAGTTGGAATACGGGAACACATTAATTCAATACCGCGAGTCCAGTCACACTACTGTAGGGCCACCACAAATAAAGAGTAATGTTGCCCCTGATTTTAACATTTCATTGCTACATGAAAAATATGTTCAGAAATGCATTGATAGTGGAAAAACCCCAGGTAAACTTCATCTTTATCGACAAATATTCAATACTGAATTCAACATAGGTTTCCATATGAATAAAAAAGATAGATGCGACACATGCGAAGCCATGAAGCATAACAAAGGAGCTTCAGAAGAAGAGAAAGAGGCATACCAGAGGCATCTTACAGGAAAGGTAGAAACAAAAGCAGAAAGAGACAGAGACAGAACGAATAAAAACTCTTTTAATGTGTGTTTTGATTTACAAAATGTTTTTGCCTT